TACGCCTATTTTTTCACGATTAAAAGATACCATAGAAAAATCCACCTACAACTTAACACATTCAAAGTATTAGTCCCAAAACTGGAGAAAACACGTGGCATAACCAAAAGACTGTTACAACAATTACAAGTAATGTTTACAGTTTAATTTATAGTTACACTCAGCACCTATAGTTTCTAATTAAGAAGTTACAAATGTTATTTCTGGAAAAAGAGTTGTTCAAAAATCCAAAAGAAATATCTGCTAAATATTTAAAATCTGTTAGCATTTTGTTTCGCCTGAAAAAATTTAATTCCATGGTAAAGCGATACAAGCACTTTCCATACAGAATCATAAAAACCACGCTAGTAACAAATTCTGCCTTGGTCTCGCTTCACAATAGATTATTCAGCTCAATACCACAAAATTTTAAAACTAAAATTGAAACACTAGAAAGTCGTAATTAGCAAAAAAATTTAATTTAGCATTGAGCGAAAAGGAATAATCTGAAGTGCAAAAAACGTAGCGAAAAATTCCTAGCAATATTCAAATTACCGCGGTACTGATCAAGATAGGCGCTTTGCCAAAATACTGATTTTTTATCGTTTGTTACGGAAGGTCCGTCTTGAAGAAACCAAATGAATGTATATAAAAGAGAAAGTGTCATACGATTTGCGATTTTGGCCATAGAATAAATGGGCACCGACCTGTTATATACATACATCTTTACCAATTTATGAAAGTTTTTTTGTTCTCTTATTTAGTTTCTGTTATTATTTTGTCTTTATATCTAAATCTACCTACAAACAATTGTTCTTTTATTATACTTTATTGTCCGAAAATCTGAAAGTGGCCGACCGCCAACGAAGATCAGGACACTTGTCGACTTTTTTTTACTTTACGGAATGCAAATATTGGATTCTTTTGAAATTTAGACATCACTTTATCCATATCCAATAAATAAAGCTAACAGCTCTGCATTCAAAGAACAGATGGAACACCGTTCATACACTTCATATACTGTAAAGTTCTGCTAAAAAGTTAGATAGGGTAGCCGTTTGATAAATTGTAGTCAAGTCATTTCTTAAAAACTAAAGTTTTCCCCAGTAATAGGAAATATATAGAATGTACAGCTATAATCTGTGAAGAAACGGCCATGGTTTT